CCTATAAATGTAGATTAATAATGAAATTAACTAATATCATGTTCACATACTTAATATCCTTCCACGTGAGATTCTTCTTTGTCTCTTCAACCTTATCCCAAGTAGGAATGACAATAGAAACATGTCATCAAGTAATAAGTGCCAAATAGCCACTAAACTTAGCAGCATTTGAGCGTGAACATAGACAAGGATTAAAATTAAACCATTGAAATTTAATTAAATATTCAAAATTTAAAACTTAAGCATCTAAATAACATAGACAAGGATGAACAAAAATAATCAAATGGAGATGTTCATATGTTCCTGTGATTGAGATCCCTAAAAACAATGACGATATCTTGTTCAAAAACAAAATTGACGTTTAAACTGCTTATTTCAATGAAGAATCCAACCATTTTATGACATCAAAGTTAGGTCCTCAAAGTCAAAGGAATAAGAAAGGATAAAATTGTAGTACAAGCCTACAAGAAAGAGATTAAAAATGAAATTATGAAGGGCTTTGAGATCGGGAGAATCAGTTTATCAATGAGTTGAGTTAATCATATAAAAGATCACAACACTACCTTCAACCTAAAAATTTAAGTCAATGATTTTTGTGAATCTTTCTCTTTGGATATTGCTTATCTCATTCATAGAGTAGGACTTCCAACTCTACACATGAATGTCTAATAATTTTCTCATAAGTGAGTCCTTGTCCCCACATTGGACAATTTAATTGATATATAATTTTAACATTGTTGTGAATAGTTGTTATTAATTGTAAGCATTGTAACATGATGATAGAAATAAGAAATAGTTTTCAACACAACCATAATAAATTTTTTAACCATGCAGGATTGATGCGAAATTTTGGCTTGAATAAAGCTACAGGATATGATGGTGATATAGCAGCTGAAATAGGAAAAGGTGTCGGAAGGTATATCTTACCGTACTTTATAATACGATTTATATTTGGTGTGGTAGTTTTTGCTGTGTTGTTGATATATAAAGGGGGAAGAAGACATAAATCAAAGTATGAAAATATTGAAGCTTTTCTACAAGAAAATACCCTCGCGCCAATAAGATACTCATATAAAGAAATAAAGCACATGACGAGGGGTTTTAAGGAAAAGTTAGGTCAAGGAGGATTTGGCTTGGTATACAAAGGAAAGCTGCGTAGTGGGTCATTTGTTGCGATAAAGATGTTGAGTAAATCAAAGTCTGATGGGCAAGATTTCATTAGTGAAGTTGGTACTATTGGAAGAATACATCATACAAATGTGGTGAGACTTATTGGATTTTGTGTGGAATCATCAAATCATGCTCTTGTTTATGAATTCATGCCTAATGGTTCTCTTGATAAATATATTTTTTCCAAGCAAGATATTATCTCTTTAACTCAGAGACAAATATACGAGATTTCTCTTGGAGTGGCTCGTGGTATTGCTTATTTGCATGAAGGTTGTGACATGCAAATTTTACATTTTGATATCAAGCCACATAACATCCTTTTGGACGAAAACTTTGTCCCAAAGGTTTCAGACTTTGGCTTGGCAAGACTTTATCCTACAGACAAAAGTATTATCACTTTGACTGATGTCAGGGGAACACTTGGATACATGGCGCCCGAGTTTTTTTATCATAATTTTGGAGGAGTGTCATTCAAGGCAGATGTTTATAGTTTTGGAATGCTTTTGATGGAAATGACAAATAGAAAAAGAAACTTTAATCCACATGCAAATGATTCAAGTGAATTTTTTTTTCCTCTTTGGATATACCATCAATTGAGTGGGGAAAATGAGATAGAAGGAGAAAATGTTACCAAGCAAGAATACAATGATGAGATAAAGAAGATGTTTTTAATAGCATTATGGTGTATACAACTGAAGCCAAGTGATCGTCCTCCCATGATCAAAGTAGTGGAGATGTTGGAAGGAGAACTTGAGAATATTGAAATGCCTCCAAAACCTTCTCTCTATCAGATAAATGATCACAAAACTAAATCCTACGAAACCTCTTCAAATGATTATAGTGGATCGACAAGTTATACTGAGGAAAGCATTGTTCATATTTCTCATATTTCTTCTGAATTTTCTACTTGATATTTGTAATGGCTAATAAATCGATTTACACGATGTTTCTTTTGAAAGACACTACTTACTTCTTTATATTTCCAATTTAAAGTTTATTTAACAATTGAAGATCTCACGCTCTAAGTAGTATTACGAATTTAAATATAACATACATTTTATTGATTCAAAAGTAATATTAACAAAATAGTAATTTTATTATAATATTTTAATATTCTATAACGTTAACTACCTTTATGTTGATTGTCCTACTCGCCAAATACATTATTTATACTAACTTTTTACTATGCAAGAAAAATAAATTTAAGTAAAAGAAGTCCTTATCATACCAAATGAAAATCTCATTGTATTTGTTAGTTAGATTTTAAGTTCTCGTTTTTCTGACAAGTTCTTTGAATATACTTATCAACAACGTTATATTTTGTTATACTCATAATTTTTTGAGAATTATAGCAGCTATAACAGACATTTTTAACGGGCGGTAACCTTCATTTGCAATTAAAATCGTGGTAGTTTGCATAACGTTTAGTGCTAAGTGCCTTTACACAAAACATGTATGACCACTTTCACTAAGCTCACGGAATTATATATTAAAAAAAAAAGTTAAACGTTCCTGTGTGGTTTTTTCTCATTTAAGTTCAAGTATTATCGGTTTCTTGAATTTAGTCCTTAAAAAGTGAAAAATTGACTCAATTGAGTCCTTACTGTTAAATTGGGTTAACGGAATTAAGTTTTTTATGACCTAGGACGTTGATGTGGAGAGTTTTTTAAACGTGATATTCACATACGTGAAATTTGATAACATTTAACATTTTAAAAATAGGAATTTCTAAGATGGGAAATAGGGTTCACTGAAATTGAAATTGGGATTAAAAATATGAAACATAGTGTATTGCAACCTTGCGCGTTGGGATTAAAAATATGAAACAGAGTGTATTGCAACCTTGCGCGAAGTCATTAGTGGAGACGATATTTGCTTAATTAGGGCTTTGGAGCTTCGTCATTGGAGTAAGCGTTGGTACCTTTAGGTTCGACGTGAATCGCGAAGTTCAACGTGTATTGCAAGTGGTTGGAGTGAAATTTCATGGAAGGTTAGTATTTGTACTATAGATAGATTTGAATTTAATATTCAATGCTTTTTGTTGTTATCTGACCATGCTTNTAGTCCTTAAAAAGTGAAAAATTGACTCAATTGAGTCCTTACTGTTAAATTGGGTTAACGGAATTAAGTTTTTTATGACCTAGGACGTTGATGTGGAGAGTTTTTTAAACGTGATATTCACATACGTGAAATTTGATAACATTTAACATTTTAAAAATAGGAATTTCTAAGATGGGAAATAGGGTTCACTGAAATTGAAATTGGGATTAAAAATATGAAACATAGTGTATTGCAACCTTGCGCGTTGGGATTAAAAATATGAAACAGAGTGTATTGCAACCTTGCGCGAAGTCATTAGTGGAGACGATATTTGCTTAATTAGGGCTTTGGAGCTTCGTCATTGGAGTAAGCGTTGGTACCTTTAGGTTCGACGTGAATCGCGAAGTTCAACGTGTATTGCAAGTGGTTGGAGTGAAATTTCATGGAAGGTTAGTATTTGTACTATAGATAGATTTGAATTTAATATTCAATGCTTTTTGTTGTTATCTGACCATGCTTTTTTGAATGTGGGGTTGGGGTTGTCCGAAAATGTATTGTATGCATATTGCGATTGTGGTCCCCCATGTCTCCCATAGTTAAAGTTCCTTTGTTTTGTCTTTATCAATTGATATTCGTTTTAATATACGATGTTTTTTTTCGTTTTACGGTTATTTATAGGTGTAGAATATTGTTGATTATGTTGTCTGTGATGGAGGATGATATATAGGTTGTTATTCACCATGGGGGGAAGTTCGCGAACGACGAGTCCCTCAAGTATGAAGGGGAAATTGATACTATGTATTTTGACCCTGACTTTTGGAGTTACTTTGTTTTAGTGAGTGTGGTAAAAGGGCTTAGGTATGATGGATTTAAGGATTTGTGGTTTTCTGTTGGATGTGGTCCTGTATTAGATGATAGGCTATAAGCCTTGTGTGATGATGTAGGACTCCTGCATATGGTGAATTTAGTTAGGTTAAATGGTTAGGTTCATTTATATGTTGTGCATACTATGTCTCAACCTGATGTCATTCACATGACTGAATATAATGTTGATGAAGGAGGTGAGGAAGTTGCACCTGAGATGCATGAGGGTGGTGAGGGTGTAGTGGTGGATGAAAGGACAGAAGAAGATGATGGTGGTGTAATTGAACAGTTTGGTCAGGCCATAGATGATGGTGGTGTCACACAACAATTGGATGAGGGGGTAGGTGCTGAGGGTGAGAGGATACAAGTTGATGATGGTCAGGCCGAGATAATAGAAGCAGATGATGTTGAGGGTGAGAGAATATAAGTTGATGAAGGTCATGGTGAGGGACGAAAGTAGATGATGTTGAGGGTGAGAGAATACAAGTTAATGAAGATAATGATGATAGGACAAAAGTAGATTATGTTGAGGGTGAGAGAAAAGAAGTTGATGAAGGTCATGGTGAGAGGACAGAAGCAGATAATGTTGTGGGTGAGAGAATATAAGTTCATGATAGTCATGGTGAGGTTGAGGGGAGAGAAGCACATGATGGTGAGGTGAGAGGTTAGAAGTCCAAGATGTTGAGGGTGAGAGGATACAATTACATGATGGTGAGGCTGACAGAATAGAAGTAGAAGAGTTGGAGGACATACAAGTACAAGTTCATGAATGAAGTATATTAGATGATGATGATAATGGTGAGGTGAATAGTATGGATGAGTTAGTTAACATAAATGTCCAGTGTGACTTCAGAGAAAGTGAAAGTTGTGGTAATATGGAGGTTGAAGTTGAATCTGTTTTACTTGGAATAGAGAGGTCAGATTTAAGTGTTGTTTCTGAGTTAGATTTGGAAGAAGATGACATTAGTGATACTAGTTTGTTTAATGATAAATGAGAATCTGAGAACTTAACCTCTCTTAACATCAGTGATGAAGAAAGTGATGGTGAATAGGGTTATGGGAATTTTGTTACATTTACTATGCCAAAAAATATGGTTGATTTCAATTGGGAAGTGGGAACATATTTTGGGCACAAACAAGACATTTTGGATGCCATCAAAACCTATGCACTAGAGAATGGAAAAAATATCAAATTTGTTAAAAATGATAAGAAAAGAATAAGGCTTAAATGTGTGGGAGCAAAAGGACAATGTCCTTGGATGACATATTTTGGTTACATGGACGCAATAGATACATGGCAATTGAGGATTATGGTGGACAGGCACACATGCAGTAGGGAGCACAAGTTGCGTCCATTGAATGCATAATGGCTAAGTAAAAAATTGGAAAAAACAGTAAGAGAAAGAGAGTTGATATTAGAAATAAAATTAGTAGGAAATGGAACATAGGAATATTTAAAAATATGGCTTACCGAGCGAAAGCCTATGCTTCAGACGAAGTGGAAAGGTCCTTTCACTATGCGATATAATAGAATTTATGATTATGCTCATGAGCTATTAGCAAGAAACCCAGGGTCCACAATCAAGGTCAAAGTTGAGGAAAATGATGGAAAGCCAATATTCAAGAGGTTCTACGCATGCCTCAAGGAATGCAAAGATAGCTTTGTCTCATGCAGGCCAATCATTGGCCTTGATGAAGCCTTTTTGAAAGGCAAACATCGTGGTGAGTTGTTAACTGCTATTGCTCGAGATCCAAATGATCAAATTTTGCCACTTCATATGCCATTGTAGAGGTCGAGAACAAGGAGACTTCGACATGGTTTATGGAGCTACTCATTGAAGACGTAGGTGGACCTGAGATGTGTGCTTCACTTACATTGATATCAGATTAACATAAGGTAAATTGCATTATATTTTATTATCTTTTATCTTATATCCATATCTTGAAATCAATATCATCTAACTTATTGTTGACTCGTTGATAAGGACTGTTACCAATTGTACAAGATCTACTTCCTGGAGTTGCACACAAATTTTTTGTAAGGCATTTATATGCAAACTTCAGGAAGAAATTCCCTGGAAAGAATCTTAAGAACCTTATATGGAGGGCAGCTACAACAACTCATCCATAGAAATGGGAGAAGGAGATGAGAAGTATAAAAGAGGTCAACCAAGATGTCTTTCGCCACTTGATAGTTATTCCTCCAAGGTTTGTAGTAGTTCACTTTAGTTTTCTTTTACTTTCTGATAAATTTATATAATGATTGTATGTCTTACATCTTCAATGAAGCTATTGGTTAAGATCAAGGTTCACAAGCACAACTCAATGTGATACCTTGGTTAATAACATGTTAGAAGCCTTTAATAGTGTTTTGGTTCATACGAGAATAAAATCAATAATTACAATGTTGGAGGAAATCAGACTTTACATGATGAAGAGATGGGTCACTAATAGGTCAAGGGTAAGGTCATTTCAATCATCAATTTGTCCAAAAATACTCAATAGACTACAAAAGGAGGCACAACTAACAAAGTATTGGATTCCCAAGTATTGAAAAATTATGGGATATGTATTTCTTTCTTTATTTGTTGCACAACTGCTTTGCATTACTAATGTTGCCTTATGTTCACAGCTGGTTTGCACAAAAGCCATTTGAAGTCAAACATCTATCAAAAAGTAGGGACAAGTTTGTGGTCAACATAGATGAATATTCTACTCCTGTAGAAAATGAAGCATCACTGGAATACCTTGTGTTCATGCATCGGCAACAATGAGGTTTCTCAACATAGATGGAGAGGACTACACACCTTCTTCCTTTCAGAAATCAATGTATGAAGAAATTTACTCCTCTATTATCTATCCTATTAATGGAAACAACCTCTGGGAGATAACCCAATATCCTTATGTCATGCCTCCATCAAAAAGAAAGTTTCCTAGTAGACCTAAGAAGAAAAGGAGGTTAGAGTAGTCGGAGTTGAAGAAAAATACCACCAGAATGACAAAAGGTGGAATGTTGAAGAGATGTAGCCTGTGTAAGGAAGTGGGCCATAACAGAACACATTGTCCCAAGAGAAATGAAGAACCTGTTGTGCAGCCACAAGGAGAAGAACCCATTTCATTGTTTGAGGG